AACATGGATTATCTCAGTGCTCAGCAAAAGAAGCCAGACACAAAAGAGAACATATGATATGAATCCACTTGAATGAAACCCTAGAAATGACAAATACACCCTGTAATGATTGAAGACAGGCAGGCCAGCAGTTGTGTGAGCTGAGGCTGTATGGGGTGGTTGACAGGGAAACAGAACAAGGGAACCTGGGGAATGATGGAAATATCCTGTATGTTGAGTGTGGTGGTATTTGCACAGGTGTACATACTTTATCAAAAGTCAAGTTCTAGGATTAAAATGAATCTATCTTATTTTATGACCACATTGACTTTATTTACAATATCAAGATATTTATGCAATTGACAATGAATAATATGCTCTGTTAGAACAGAGGGTGAAAATATGGGCATCCTCTCTGCCTGGTATATTGTTTCACTTTATCCTGGCTTTTGAGTTTTAATTTATGTTGGCTGATGTGTTTCTAAATTCTTTTTTCCTATATGCAGTTTGCCACACTAATAGCTGAGAAAGAGAAAGGTAGCACATGAATTGAGTAAACTACTGTTTTATTTCACTTTTTATTATAATCTTTCGAAATATTAGAGCTGGAGAGACTCCCAAAATCATTAATCCATAGTCTTTACTGACAAGACAGTTTTTTTCATTAGTGCATAAAACTACAAGTCGTTAATTTACTTTTAGAAGAAATCAACAGCATATTTATAAGCCTTATTTAACTCACTTTATACATGACACAAACAAAAGGACATTTCACTTTTAAAGAAAATTATAAACACACACTAAATCATATATTTTGAGGGTTGGATTGAAATGCAAGCAAGAAAATCAAATTTCTTCAAAGAATGGGCTACTACCATAGTCATATTAATACTCCAACACTGGTTTTCTGCCAAGCCAGTGACTGGCCTAAGGAGAGGAAAATTTGCCAAAGAAGAGGACGCTGTTGGACTCGTTGTGCCGGATGAAGAACAGGAAGGGATGATTGCAGTGAAAAGTTTCATAACTGGGCACTGATGTGACCACAAAGCCCATCCCGGTGCTCGCTGCAGCCTCGGTACCTTCCTCAGTCACCACCACAAAGGACCCATGCAGAAACTTCTGGGCATGCAGCCCTGAACGTGGGGACATCCCTGAATAGTCAGCCTCCAGCTCACTGAAGGCATCCCCCAGCCCCATGGCGCCCAGCGCCGCCTCCAGGTTATAACTATCTTCCACCTCAAATCGAGGCAAGTGCAAATCCACAGTCCTTTCCTTCATCTGCCCTGGGTTAGTCCACTCTACTAATTTCTCAGGACTTACTTCATTTATAATCTATTAAGGAAAAAAAAGGGGGGGGAGAATGGCATGATTATCAATAAAAGTTTGAAACAGTTTAACACTCATTTGTATCGGTCAGAAATCATTAATTTTAATAACAAAAGTAGAAATTTCATTTTGCTAGACTGTTGTCTTCATATAGCAGGCACTTGTCTTATATTTCTCTATTTAAATTTTCTGTGCATATATAAAAAGTCAATAGCATTTCGTGAATTTTTAAAGATGAGAAATGCAATTTCTTACTATTTCCCTAGTGTCTTTGTATGCATATATATTATATATAATTTTAAAGATAAAATATGTTTATATAAATTATATAATAAGCAAATTATAATTTATATAATATAATAATTGGTGACTAATATAATGTTTATTATAAATATATAATACATATTAATATATTTACTTATAAATATTAATTCAGTCACAGTGAATGTCCATTTTATACTGCATAACTCATCAACATATCTTCAAGCTGATAGATATTTTCATCAAATTGATACATTTTACCCAACATTAACCCATTCATTCACTTTACAAGTAACTAGTATGTAATCATGCATTTTAACAGATGATAGATTCTGTAGATACAAATATAATTATTATTATGAATTTCAAATTAGGTATCCTAATATATTTAATGCAGAAATTACAAATTTGACTCAGAAGGGCCATTTTTTTCTTCTGAATTATTTCCCTAGAATAATTTCCACAACTGGAATTTTTGAGTTAGAATAACAAAATTCTTAAAGCTCTTAAATATATTGCCATTTTGCTGTCCCAAATAATTTCCAATGTATAATGAATACTATTAGCCATTGATTCACTTGCTGTTCTGTGCTTGTTAGAAATAGAGATAGAGACAGAGACAGAGACAGAGATAGAGATAGAGATAAAGACAAAGATCGAGTATAGTCACTAATCATTACAATACTACACATTAAAAACTATGAAGCCCATTTTATAGATGGAAAAATATTGAGGTTCAAGGAAGTTAAATAGCTTCAAAGGACATAATACTACTAAATAGAGATATAGGGATATGAAGCAAAGCCTCTCTGATTTCAAAAACACAGGATACTAGCCACATCAATATTTTAACAGCAAAGTGGGTAGGAATACATCAAGGAGTTCAAGATTAAGGGTCTGATGGACTTTGGGTGATTACTGTATATAAGATCATCCTTGGTTAAAAAAAAAAAAGAACCATTTTTTCTGATAAGTGGTGTTGATTATGTGGGAGGTATGCATGTGTGGGACAGGAGGTGTGTGGGAAACCTCTGTAACTTTTTCTCAGTTTGTTGTAAACCTAAAACTTCTTTAAAAATTGGAGGTCTAAAAAAAATTCAGAATGTCTGAATGGCATGCAAAATTTGCTGGATATGTGCACATGTGATTTTTTTTTTCTGGAAAAGAGGTGACTACATAATCAACCATTTCTCAGAATACTGGGTGATCTTTACAATCCTTTAAATGTTTATTTTAGCTTATTCCCAAATATTTTAGTGTTGGCCTTTCTCATTAAACCTGATGTCATCTATCGCTCCACATTAGACATCCTGCACAGAGGCAGAAATAGTTTCCACTGGGCACCACCAGACACCAGCTCCCAATCACAAGCCCCACTTCCAGGCTCACCAAGAATAAGCTCTGAGATGCAGAGCCTCCAGAAATGAAAGCAAGAATGGGGAGGTGCAAGGTCTTACCTTCTCCAGACCATCGATGTCATTGGGCAGCAACACGAACATGCTTAGATCACTGTTTTTATATGGAATCCCCAGAATTTGGGCCTGCAGGTCCTTCAGGCGAGTGAAGCTGAAGGAGTCACGCTGTGTCATCATCTGCACAGGTTTACTTGTGTTCTGTAACAAATTCACAGAGCACCCAGTGTCCAAAGAGGCATGAGACGACCAGGCGAGCTCACCGAAATGATGCTCTCAACCTAAAACAGTGCTAACGCTCAGACCCTCCAAATCAGCACTGTCTGTCCACCCTGTACATTGATGGAAATATGACTTCATAATGTACATTCCATGTGTAAGCACATCAATAGTTAAAGAACCATACCTTATCCAGCCAAAATTCCTCCTCCTTGGTATGTTCTTTCTTAAACTCCCTGTCCCATTGCCCTTTAAAATGCACAATGTTCACCAGCACCAGCTTCGTGGTGGTGCTGCTTAGAGTGGCATCAGGAAACAGGTCCTTGATGTTTTCTGCAAACAAACAACAACAAACGTGGCCCTTATTAGTGATAGGCATGGCAGATACGATGCAGGGGGACTTGACTGGTCATTAAAAACTTTAGCCAGGCCCTAGCTGGTCTCACATCGGTGCACTGAAGGATCTCGGGTTCAATTCCCGGTCAAGGGCACATACCTCAGTTGCAGGCTCAATCTCCCTCAGGGCACATGCCAGAGGCAACCAATCAATGTGTCTCTCCCACTTTGATGTTTCTCTCTGTGTGTCTTTCCCCTCATTTCTACTCTCTCTGGAAAAATCAATGGAAAAAATATCCTCTGGTGAGGATTAACAAAAACAAACAATAAAAACCTCAGCCCGGTCAGCACCTGCAGGCTCTGCAGACAACGGGTTCACTGGAAGCTCTCACTGTCCCCCGCCTATTTATCCCATTGAATGGATTGAGGTGTGAGGGTTAAAGAGTTTAGGCTCTGAGATCAGATTGCCTCTGTGAGCATCCAGTTTTGCCTCTTATCAGTTAAGGAATTATGGGCAAGTTCCTTAAGCTCTCTGTGCCTCAATTTCCAAATGAGTAAAACAGGAATGAAACCGCTTCATAGGGTTGTTGAAAGGAGTAAATGATCTAATGTGTGTACATTACTTAGATCACTGTCTGGCTAACAATAAGAACTCAGTAAATGTTAGCTATTATTATTTTTACCCACTTGATACCACCAGAGGATATGTTTATTGACTTTAGACAGAGAAGAAAGGAGAGAGAGAGAGACATCAATCTGTTGCCTCCTGTATGTGCTCCAATAAGGAATTGAACCCACAACCTAGATATGTGCCCTGAACAGTAATCAAACCCTAAACCACTTTGGTGTATGGGATGATGCTCCAACCAACTGAGCCACATGGCTGGACACAAAAGCAGGTCTTGATGAAAGAGCTGAATGTTTCTCACTTGATAATGAGAAAGGAAACCCCCTATATTTCCACTCAAAGACCCAGACTCAGAAATGCTCTGATATAAAGGAAAGACTATGAACCCAAGACAGACATGACCCAGTTTCAGGACCCTCAAAGATATTATGAACCTCAACCGGTGTAAATAATTCTCCACTAAGTGTTTCCATGAATTTGGCTCTATGATCCCCTCTGATTCTCCTTGGCTTTCTCTATAATTTGCAGTGCCTCCTCCCACCCCTCATGCTCAGGCCTGCCTTTCCAGCCCTGTAAAGCCTATACCAAGTCCCCTCCCAAAGCTTGTCCACCCTGGTCCCCCACGCAGTGCCAACCACAGGGCTTCACTCACAGTGGGCACTCAAGGAGCGTTTTTATGATGAATGACCCATCCATACTCTACCATGTGTTTGGCTTTCAACCCAGGAATTAATCTTCTTTCGACTTTCATCTGCTGCATTTACAAAATCAACTGGTTCCAGAGAAGCATGATAATATTTTTCAACATAATCTAAGTATTTCTTTAGGAGAAACAGGGAAGGAATAGAAAGAGTTTGAAATTCAATTTATCTATTGCCAACATCTCTAAATAAGTTCAAGATCACTAATATTCTATGCAGGGTTTGGGGCAAATCACTTTGAGTACTTCCATGCACCTTTTATGCAGGTGTAATAGGGTTAAAGCAAAAATCAGATTTAAACTGCCAAGATTACAAAGGAGCTCTCAAGGGGCCAGGATGTCTGAAAAATAGGCAGGGGGGTGCCAGGTGATCTGGGCCAAGCCAGGCAGTTAATGTAGGCAGCATGCCACTAGGACCCACAGTCCTAACAGAGCCATTGGCCATTCATGAATACCACTCACAGAAGTGGTGGACACAGCAAAACTTACTTGAAGGAAAAGGTATGTCTTCTCTCCAAATAGCCTGTTGGCTATTTTCAGCTCATAATTATTATTGGGTTTGCTTATTTCACTCAAAAATGTTTGGAATTGATGGTGTATCTCTTCGGTCTTCTCAATCTTCAAAACAAAACAAAAACTCAATGATTTACCTTAGCAAAAGCAAGCCTAGATTCTGCCCCAGAAAGTCATGGCTGCTGGGTCTCTCCCTCAGCTTGGCAGCCTTGAGGATGGCCTGTGAATTTGGTGTGGCCCCTGGATGTTAGCTGGCTTTTACACAAATCACTAATGTAAGTCACAACCAATCTCAGCTCCACAAAGAAGCTTGCTCTTTGGCCCAATACCACAGATCTAGCTTTTCTGGCTCAGGTTGCATTTTTCATCTCAAATGTAATTGCCCACTAAGTGGTTCATAAGCTTGCTTTTAGCTTCCCACAATACTAAGCAACTGGAGGAAGTAAATGATTCCTCAGATGACTCTTATCCACTTAAACTTGGCCATATCTGTTCCAGACAATGGATAAAAAAAGTAAATCCTGATGGTGTAAGCAGCCCTTTGTTAGCTATATACTGGACTGAACTGATATTTTTTTCTTATCTCTGGGGAGGGGGGAGGTAAAAAACTTTTCTAGACATTTTTTGTAGAATCCATCCATTTTCTGATTGAAGGCTGAGAAGTGAGTGCTTCATGGCAGGGCCAGATGACAGAGCTTATGTCCCTAAAACAGATAGGAACACTGCCCCCTGCCTGTTAAGTGATGTCTGGCTACCTCTATCCACCATTCACGCTGGATTCCAGAGAGAATCATTTAAATTTTGAACGGAAAAGCTTATCCCTGATTGCACTGAGAACGGAAAGGTTTTCTTCCTCTAGAATATAAAGCCCATGGGTCTTTTGTTTATTTGCTTGCTTCATCTTTTTATTTCATGACTGACTACTCAATGCCCAGAGTAGTATCTGGCACTTAAAAGACACTCAGTTAATTTTTATGCTAATGAACTAATGAACATTTGAAGACATTCAGATGGAAATACATGCTTCTCTAACAAAGTATCTGAGGCTAAATTTGACCTTTGCCTCCCTCCTTGTTATTGTGAACCTTTAAATGTCCAGTGATCATTCATGGCTGCTCAGGTTGACTGATATGTGATGTGAGCAGGTCAAGGTATTGAACCTATAGGGAATAATGGATTGCTATAAAGAGAAGGATGTAGTGGGAGTATTTCTCCAGTGGGACAGTTGTGACTAAGTTGACCTGAAAAATGGAGAAAGAGAATAAGGGCCTACTGTCAAACAGGTTTCAGGTTTGAAATTATACTATCTCTGTGGATGGGGAAACCCCAAACTAAGAAATTAACTTAAAGTGGCCCTGGGTTGATAACATCCCAGGATCTTATTCCAGAAAAAAAAGTAACTGTATTAGAAAGGTAACTATACCATAGGTTTTGCTGGACAACCATAGATTACCAACCAAATATTCGCTCATATTCCCAAACTATAAATCATGAGAAAGTAAGTAAGTAAGTCCCACATCAAGAATTGATGGGGGGGGGGGGGGAGCAAACAGCCATATTGGATTCTCAAGGAGTTTAAGTGTTGATATTATCAGATATCACACTTAAAAAGCAGTACTTTGAAAAAAGATATTGAAAATATGGTTGAGAAACAAGACACTGCTATCAAGTTCCAGGTTCATTTTATAATCAACTAGAATTCCTATATGTTCAATAAGCATTAAAATTTAAAAGCTTGAGAGAACCAAGATGGCAGCATAAGGTACAGACCTGTGCGTGCTGCCTCCCACAACAACATTGAAAATACCAACTATAAGACAAAACAGCAATCATTCAGAACCATGGGAAAGCTGGCCCAGTGGAAGTTCTACAACTGGAAGGAAAGAAAGAAGAGCATTGAGACTGAGTAGGATATGCAGAGGCACCAAGAACAGAGGTACAGAGTCGCGCGCCAGGCGGGCTGCAACTGGATGCATGGTTTTTTTTCAATTGAAAGGGGTCACAAACTCTCGAATCCACTGAGCTTGTTTGGGGCAGGATTCTGAGGTCCCAGACCCCTACGGGGAGAGGCGGGACGGCCTTGCAGCAGGTCGGAAAGTGAGGGCCACTTTCTCGCCGGCACTCGGGGACTCGGAGACACGAAGTCGCGGAGTGGCGAGGAGTTGCAGAGACGCCATTGCTGTTTGCTCCTCCCTGGTGATTCCCTGAGGCCCTGCCCTACTCAATTTACATCCCCACCCAAGCTGTGCCAGTGGCACAAAAGGAACCACCTGCACTTTTGCAGCTTAACCCAACAAACTGCAGATTTCAACTCCTCGCACCCATAAGGGACACACTCAAGAAGCAGAATCAGGTTTGGTGGAAGCCGGAACCGGACCTGGCTGGGCCGGCAACATGGAACCACTGTACCAGCAAACGCACAAACAGGTCCACCAGATCCAGTCTCACATGGGACACCGGGAGACGGCAGACAAGCAGTCTGTGCACTTAGTAGAAAATGAAATCCAAGCAAGCATACCAGATATTCAGCCAGCAAGAACACCTGGAGATTTCATCCAACAAGGAGCCGCCCAACAAAAGACAGAATGCCAAACTTCGTGTTGACCAGTTAAAGTATGATGTCCAGCACCTGCAGAATGCTCTCAGAAACTTCCAGCATCGGTGATACGCAATGGAGCAGCAGGAGAGACAGCGAGAGGAGCTTCTGTCTCGCACCTTCACCCCCAACATGAGATGCGGCGCCCCCTGTGAGGCTGTGACGGCCCCTGTGAGGCTGAGACGGTCCCTGTGAGGCTGAACACAGGGACACATCACAGATGGAAATAGCTACATTTTCCATGTGTATGACCCAGCAACAAAAAGCGTGCACCTATGGATGAGGACAGTGGGGGGGGGGGGAGGGGTAAGGGCAGAGGGTGAGGTGGGAACTGGGTGGAGGGGAGCTATGGGGGGAAAAAGGGAGAACAACTGTAATAATCTGAACAATAAAGATTTATTTAAAAAATTTTAAAGCTCAATAGATGGGTTTAACAGCCAATTAGGCACTGCTAAATTGATAGACTTGATAGATCTGAATAATTTTCTCATAATGAAACATAAAGACAAAAAGTGATGAAAATATGTATGACAAAGAAATCTAGAAGATAGAATACAAATTGTAGCATCCTTCCAATAGACAATAAAGACTGGAGTACATGCATTATTCAAAATATTAATTGACTGAGACTTTTTCAGAATTGATAAAAACTATGAATTTTCATATTGAGATAGCACAGTAAATATGTCTTGGTAAATTAATAACTCCACATCTAGACACATTGCAGTAAAATTCAGAAACAACAAAAACAGCAAAACTTAAATGCAGTCAGAGAGATCACCTACTGAAGATTGTCAAATAAACCAACTTCTTAACAGCAACATTAGACACAGAGAGAAGAATGCTATCTTCAAAGAGTTGAGAAAAAATCTCAACTTAGAATGCAACACATAGTTTAACATTCATTCAAGAGCAAAGGTCAATGCAACCTGATAGCATCTACTACATGCAAATCTTTACTAAAGAAACTTCCCAGGAGTGATGTCATCAAGATTAAGAATAAGCCGAAACCGGTTTGGCTCAGTGGATAGAGCTTCAGCCTGCGGACTGAAAGGTCCCAGGTTCAATTCCAGTCAAGGGCATGTACCTGGGTTGCGAGGACATCCCCAGTAGGAGATGTGCAGGAGGCAGCTGATCAATGTTTCTCTCTCATCAATGTTTCTAACTCTCTATCTCTCTCCCTTCCTCTCTGTAAAAAAATCAATAAAATATATTTAATTTAAAAAAAGATTAAGAACAAAAAGCCCCAAACTAGAGATACTGACTTAACAACAATACAAGAAACAAATACCTTTGTAAGGAATCAGGAAATCAGTTAAGAGGTTTCTGTATCCCACTAAGCGTGAAACCAACTGCATTGAAGCCTAATTTAAAAAAAAAATCATAGCTCCCTGGGGAGAGAAACAGAAGAGTGCGATGTATAACTAACATTCTGACCTTTCCAGAAGCTGACTGAGGGCTTGGTTTCTGTCTTGCCTGAACATAAGTGCTGATAGGAATAGGGCACCAGGATAGCCACTAAGAACAAAGACAATTAACAGTCACCAAATTCTGCAGTACCACAGATAGACACCAGGGAGAGCTCCTGAATAGAAACAGGCGAACTTCAATTGGGACATCACAAACACCTTCCCAGAGAGAATGCAGCCCCAGGAAAGGCTTAAGACATCTCCAGAATCTCTGGTCAGCCTGGTTTAAAAAAAATTTTCCTGCCTTGCTGGTGTGGCTCAATGGTTGAGTGTCGACCTATGAACCAGGAATTCACAGTCAAGGCACATGCCCGGGTTGTGAACTAGATCCCAGAGTGGGGTGTGTAGGAGGTAGCCAATCAATGATTCTCATCATTGATATTTCTATCTCTCCCTCTCCTTCCCTCTCTAAAATCAACAACAACAACAAATATATATATATATATTTTAATTTCTTCCTGTATGGCTGGGTTTCCAAATGCCAAAATCCCAACAGAAGATAACAAGCATGCAAAGAAACAAGGAAACATGACCCAATCAAAGGAACAAATTAAATCAACAACTTAACTTTACATCTCAAGGGACTAGGAAAAGAACAAACTAAACCAAAAGTTAGAGTTACATTTAAAGCAGAAATAAACAAAATAGACAGTAGAAAAACAAAAGAAAAATAAACAAAAGCAAGAGAGTTATGGGTTGTTGTTTTTTAAGAAGATCAACAAAATTGACAAACCCTTAGCTAGACTAAGAAAAGAACAGAAGACTCCAATAAGTAAAATTAGAAATGTCTGGAAATTAAAAGGACTATAAGGAACTACTATGCACAAGTATCTATATCAAAGTAATGAATAGCCTAGAAGAAATAGATAAATTTCTACATGTAGAAAGTCTTAAAGATTCCACAAAAAATGTTACAACTAATAAATTAATTCAGCAAATTGCAGAACACAAAATCTACATTAAAAAATCAGTTATATCTCTATACAATAACATTGACCAATGCAAAAAGTAATTAAGAAAATAATCCCATATACTGTAATATCAAAAAGGACAAATTACATAACTAAGAAGGTAAAAGACTTGTTCACTGAAACTACAAAATATTGCTTCAAAAAATTAAAGAAAATACAAATAAATGGGAAGACATTCCATGCTAATGATTGGAGGATGTAATATAATTGAAATATTTCTATTACCCAAAGTGATGTATAGATTCAATACAATCCCTATCAAAATCCCAGTAACTTTTTTAATAGGAAAAAAAAACTAAAATTCATATGGAATCTCAAGGAACCCTGAGTAACCAGAGCAACCTAGAAAATAAAGAGTAAAGTTGGAGGCTTCACACTTCCTTATTTTAAAATATACTACAAAGCATCAGTAAGCAAAATGGTGTGGTACTGGCATAAAGAAAGATATATAAGATATATGGACCAACAGAAATAATAAATAGTCCAGAAATAAACCCTTGCTTAAATGGCCAAATAATTTTCAACAAGGGTGCCAAGACCACACAATGAGAAAAGGACAGTCTATTCAAAACAAGGTGCTGGGAAAACTGAATATCTACTTGCAAAAGCATGAAGTTGGACCCTTACCTTACACATATACAAAAAAAAAGACTCAAAATAGGTTAAAGACTAACAATAACACCTACAACTATAAAACTACTAGAAGAAGACATAAGAGGAAAACTTTAGGACACTAGATTTGGTAATGATTTCTTGAGCATGACATCAAAAGCACAGGCAACAAAGACAAAAACAAACAAATGGAATTAAATCAAACTAAAAAACTTCTGCTCATCAAACAATCAACAGAGTGAAAAGGCAACCTGCATAATGAGAGGAAATACTTGCAAATTATATATTTGATGAGGGGTTAATGTCCAGACTATATAATAAACTTCTACAACTCAACAACAAAAGTAACCCAATGAAAAATATGGGCAAAGAACTTGACTGGACACTTCCCCAAAGAAAACATGCAAATGGCCAACAGCATCTGAAAAGATGCCCAACACCACTAATCATAAGAATAATGCAACTATCAAAACCACAGTGAGCCCAGCCAGTGTGGCTCAGTGGTTGAGTATCGACCTACGAACCAAGACGTCACAGTTCAATTCCCCAATCAGGGTACATGCCCAGGTTGTGGAATCGATCCCCAGTAGGGGGCATGCAAGAGGCAACCCATCGATGATTCTCTCATCATTGATGTTTCTATCTCTCTCTCCCTCTCCCATCCTCTCTTAAATCAATAAAAATATATTTTCAGTACTATTCACAATAGCCAAGTGGTAGAAGCAGCCCAAATGCCCATCAACAGATGAATGGATAAAGTAATTGTGGTATATAAATACAAAGGAATATCATGCAGCCTTTTAAAAAGGAGGAAATATTGTCATATGTGTCAACATGGATAAATCTCAAAGACATATGTAAACAAAATAAGCCATTTGCATGCACACACGCACACACACACTCACACACATACAAACAGATACGTACTAGTATGCTTCCACTCATATGAAGTATCTAAAGTAGTCACAATCATTACCAATCAATCAATCAATCAATCACCAGTCCCAGATCACCCTGCCGAATGCCCCTGATTGCCGGCCAGGCCTAGGGACCCTATCTGTGCATGAATTTTGTGCACCGAGCTTCTAGTATATATACATATATATATATATGTGTGTGTGTGTGTGTGTGTGTGTGTGTGTGTGTGTGTATAATTGATTCCAGAGAGGAAGGGAGAGGGAGAAAGAAAGAAATAGAAACATCAATGATGAGAGAGAATTATTGATGGGGCTGCCTCCTGTATGCCCCCTGTTGGGGATCGATCCCCTAACCCCAGCATGTGCCCAGACTGGGAATTGAACCATGACCTCCTGGCCTCCACTGAGCCACACCGGCCAGGCAACATTAGGTAATACTTAATAAAGTGGAACATGCACCCACCCTACCTCCCAAATATATGCTATAAACCGGTGCTGTCTCATAGAAATGAAATGAGAACCACAAATCTGAACCACATACTATCTTAAATTTTCTAGTATCTCTGTTCTTTTTTTTTTTTCAATTCACACAAAGATTCTATTTGGGAGGGAAAGTACTGTCAAACAACTGTGTTTCTTGACTGAGTGGACAGCAGAGCAGTTATCTACCCCAACTCTGTTTTACAAAACCTGGAAGGAAGCCTGACTCTCTATATACACATGAGGAAACCAGACAACCTGGACATGTGGGATGTAAAATGAATCGTCCATATTGCTGGGTGACTTGACCCCTGATTTTATGAGGGTCTGGGGCTGAGCTATGACTACTGTCAAGTCAGATATGCCCTTCCTGAGAGCTCTAACCATCTCCAAATGCCAACACCAACCTATGGACTTAATATCCCTCCAATGTTTGCATACTCTGTATTCAGGGGAGGAATATTACAACCCTACAGCTGAAAGAGACCCCAAGAAGACATTAATCCTGTGCTAATATCTATACTAATACAAGAGTAATATGCTAATTAGACCACATGTCTTCCAGACATCCATCCAGATGTCCTTCTGGACAAAGCCATGATGGTGGGGGCTGAGGCAGAGGCAGTTAGGGGTGACCAGGCTGGCAGGGGAGGGTGGTTAGGGGCAACCAGGCCATCAGGCATAGGTGGTTAGGGGTGATCAGGCAGGCAGGCAGAGGTGATTAGGGGTTATCAGGAAGAGTGGTTAGAAGCGATCAGGCAGTCAGGCAGGTGAGTGGGATGTCCGAGGGGTCCCAGATTGGACAGGGTACAGGCCGGGCTAAGGACCCCCCCCCCACCCTTGTGCATGAATTTCTTGCACCGGGCCTCTAGGTTTTTTTAATAAAACATCAGAGCAGGCAATGAAGGGACTTAAAATAAAAATACAATGTAGTAAAAATATCACTTACTACTACCATGACCACCACTAGGCAAGTCACCAGTGTTCCAGACAGTCTACTATATTTATAAAGGCCCAAAGAAGATTAATAACTTGCTCAAAGTAGCACAACTGTTAACTAACTGGGCCGGGATTTGAACCCAAATCTGTTTCACTCCAAACCCATCTACTCTGCTATAGGGACTTTCTCAGTCTGTTAGCCTTTACCAGGATCTATCATAGTGGTTAGTGTGCATTCAAGTTAAGCTCTCCTCTTAACACTAATGGTTTATTATAATTGTATAACCCTAGTAACATTATTGCACTGCTGTGATTATTATTGCTTATAGAAGCATGGAACAGACTGTCGAATCTCAGAGGGGAGGTGGGGGTGGGTGAGTAGAAGGGAAGAGATCAACCAAAGAACTTGTATGCATAACCCATGAACACAGACAATAGGGTGGTGGAGGCCTGGGGTGGGGGTGGGGATGGGCTAGAAGGGGTCAACTGGGGAAAAATGGGGACATATGTAATACTTTCAACAATAAAGATTTTAAAAAAAAAAGCATGAAGTAGTACCTCCTCTACGCATTTCCCCAGTGAGCCCACATCTACTAAGCCACCTTAGTGAAGTTGGTAAGACATGTTTCCCACCTCTTTTTCTTCAGCTTTGATTCTTGAGCTATCTGTGTCTTTTTCAGAGAGAAGCACCTGGAAAAGACAGAAAATATCATGACAGGGATCAGAGCAGAGAAAGCCCCACACAGAATCAGTCAGGGGAAGTGGACATTTGCTAAAGACTCCTCAGTGTCACACAGGAAGATTTGTCTCCTTGCCAAATCATGAAAAGCTCTGGCTGTCTTCAGAGGAGCTTAAATTGGTTCACCCATGCACGTACTCATCTTTGATGTGTCCTATATACCCCAGTGGGGATTGTGCAACTTTTCCCAGTCGGCATGGTTCTGTCTTTATCAGGTTAATGTCTTTGGACAGGGCCTCACCCAGCCCTCATCTGGAGGAATTTCAAGCACCAGGGAGCAGATGGCAGGGTGGAATTTGGAGAGGGAAGAGATAAACCTAAAACTACTTCATGTCCTCACACACTTTCTTTGTTTCCTGGCCCATGGGTCAAAAAGATCATGTTTCCAAGGCAATTTTTGAAGGCCCATCCCAGAAAAGAGTCTGCCAGAAAAGCCATGGCTGCCATCTTACCTACCTTCTGCAGCCGGTTGGCAGTGGCTCCCCGGGTCCGCAGGAGGAGCATGCCGATAGCCGCTAAGATGCTCGCAGGGGAAAAGAAGATGTTGCCATTGTTTTCTCTATTCAGCTCTTTGAAAAGATTAAACCCAAAGGTCACTGCGCCAAGTGATTCCATGATGATCCTAGTGAGATCTAGAATATCAACAACAAATCAAAACTAATACAAAATAATACTGAATGTGAACTTTAATTGAAAAATAATTTTTTAAAGAAAAACCAAATGAGCACTTGTTGGAATTGCTTTAGATCATGGGAACCCTTCTTGCTTCTCTTCCTGCATTGATCCAGAAAAAGGGGGGTTATGGAATATTTCAATAAACAAATTAAATTCAGATACTGAGATAGGCCTGGATTTGAGCTGCAGAACTCTCAGAGAGTATTTCAGACAGTACTTCCTCTGACAACGATAATAGCTACAAACCCTTCTGAAGGTGATATATGTATGTTTATGGTCTTGATCACAGGGATTAAGTTGTATACATTAAATATGTAAGCTTTATGCATATCAATTATACCCCAATACAGTGTTTTCTTTAAAGAAAAAAAAGATGGAAAAGTCCCTGTGGCCTGCTTCTCACCCCCTAGCGTAGCCTTCTCTTGACTGGAGATGTGCATCAGCTGGGCACCATCTGGTGCTTCTCGGTTCTCATTTCCCCAGGGAGCTAGGTGCCTTGGTTTGACTCTCTCTTGCTCTCTGTCAGAACCTGCCTGCATCTGCCTGCCCACTGCCTCCTCCCTGAGGTAAGCTCCCCGCAGGCCCAGTGCCTGCCCTCTTCGTCTGGCTTGCCCAGATGCTGCACCCATGACTGGCAAGGGGAAGCCAGAGGAAACCCATGGCCTCGGATCCAAGCTGTGTTCTCTGGTCCAGCCATAACAACAATAAAGCCAAGAGTGTATCCTTCTCTAATATTTTCTCAATTGATTCAAAATCCTGTGCAGAGATGGTAGGATGCATTCACTCTCTTAAACCCCAACGCCTAACTGAATGAAAACTTGATTCTTGGCTCAATTTTTCCTCAACGGTAATGCCATGGATTATTAAGTGGAAGTGAAAGAGTTTCCTTTTTATAATTTTTGTTTATTTTAATTTTCTACATTTTTTCAGTTTATACAGTAAGTTCACATTACTTTTATCTCATCAAACAAACTTTTAAGAACAATTAATATTTACCACAAATAAACTACATTTTATATTTTCTTCATCTCCAGCTACCTAGAGATGTTAATAATTAGTTAATAAAGGCTTTAAGAAAAAAATCTAAAACAAGAATGAGATTAAGGCAGAATAATTTTTTTGACAGTCTACAGACTTTGGGGGGTTCTTTGCAATCAAGGACCCATCCTGCTAGCTAAGACATCTTCCATCTGCTGTTCAAACTTCCATTTCACCCCTGAACTTACTCACAGGGATTCCTTGCAGGTTAACCCAGAAATACAATGAATTAACCTGCTGTCAAACAACATGAAGAAGATACTGTTTCGTGGCTATGTAGGCACTGAAGTAAATAAAACCACCCCAAGGAAAGTTATCCACTATAAAAGTTCTTCTTTCAAATCAACAAACATTCTCAAAACACAAAAAGTCTTCAGTGGGAGCTGAAGAGAGAACTTACCTGGCTTCTGGAGAGACAGAGGTGTCTGAGCATGGACCTGGGAAGCACGTGTAACATGAGTAATTTAGATCTTTAATTTATATCTCTCCCTCTGCCTCTCCCTAGTCATTACCATTTTTGCATTTCCAGTGAAACAACCTTTGGTTTCTCAATGATAATGTCCCTCATAAAATTAGCATGCAAGGCTTATGACAAAATTGAGGATTGCATTTTCTATGTCCTGCATGGCCATGAAGTTATGCACTTGAAGTTGTCAGTAATTGCATTGTGAACTGTAGCTCAGATAAGATACACATTAGACTTAGAGGAAGAGAGCTGCAATTTCTCACTTCTCAAAAATCTCTTAGAAATTCTTTTGGGGAGCCAAGTATAAAGCGATCTAAATTAACCAGAAAACAAAATTAAACCAAATTCAGGGGCTCAACCCAGGACCACAGGCAGCATTAGAACAGCCAAGTTAAATGAATTATTACCCAGCAGGGGGAGACTCTGAGAGGGCCTTCAACCCTAATGATATCAGGGATCCTCTGAGAAAAACTGGTTCTCCACCTTGGGTGCACATTAAAATCTCCTGGGGAACTTAAAGGGAAGAAAAAAAGATCTATGCCCAAACCCCACGCACTGAGTCAGCATCGCTGGGGTGGGAACCAGGCATCAGAATTTATATCACCCCAGGTGACTTAATGTGCAGCTGAGGTTGGGAACCAGTGGTTTATGGCCACAGGAAGCTCTGAATCAATGCATACTTATTTACCACAGATGTAGAGAGCTATGTCCTGACAAGCCCAGTCTCTGTAATTAAGTTAAATTTGCGGTTTCATTATGTGGGGGATGCCAAATGCAAAGAAGAAAATGAAAATATAAAAAACTATTTTGCTAGAAATGTAGTGAGAAAACGTCATGAGAAAAGTTTGGGCAGGCAGCCAAACACACACACACACACACACACACACACACACGCTCTTGTTCTCAAGTATTCTGTTTATTAATTATGATGTCTCTCACGTTTTATTCATTCGATAAGCATTTATTGAGAATCTATTGTGTAGCAAACATTGGGCTAAGCATCAATCATTCATAAACATCCAACAAGCTCACTGAACTCAGGAAAACAACACTACTAAAACAAAATCCTCAACAGGAAGTTCTACCTCCAAATTCCAGTTTTTCCTACCAATCCTGGGGCACCCTTACTGGCTCTACTAGTTCATTAAAGGAAGCAGTGCTTGGACTGAAGGTGTGGAGATTCATCACATTACCAAGCAGCGAATCCTAGAAGGATATCTAAGCTCTTCCCCTCTCACGTGAATGTCTGCTTAAGGAAGCAACTTATCTCAGCGATACGGCTTCTAAGGGCTGGCTGATGCCTGTGCCAATCTCAATACTCACAGTTTGCTTTTTAAAAAAAATATGCTGATTACACCTCTTTAAGCAAACTCAAAGCTGTACATAATTAACTTTGCTTTCTAACTCTCTCTGACAAATGTGCAAACTGCGGAAGGTTTGGAAAGAATTAGCACTTAGTTATGGAGTCAACCCTGGATGCCAATGAAATGAAAAAACAAACAAAATCTCATAGACACATTACCAAAAGGAAGTTGAGTAGAGGGTAGTACAGGGTAAAAGGGGTCAAACAAATGGTGACAGAAGAAGTTTTGACTTTGAGTGGTAAACACACAATGCAACATACAGGTGATGTATCATAGAATTGTATTCTTGAAATATATAAATCACTGTCACCCCCAATAAATAAACATTTTTAAAAAATGGCATAGAATCATTGAGTTGGCAATTATGTTTTATGTTTTAGTATTCCTATCAGTATGTCTTCTCATTCCTTTCTCTGGGACCCTAGACTCCCTGTTCCAATGCCCAGCTATTTCCATTTGCTCTCTGCTTCTTCCTAAAGCATTTTCTCTATCACCCGGTCCTCACAAGGATGCCTGGCTTTCCCTGAGACCACCTCACCCCACAAAGTCTTCACTGAGGGAAGTCACTCA